GCACATGTATATATGGATCAGAGAAAACGATCGTTTTTGTCAGAGTGGTAAAAAACATTTCCTAGTTCGCGTAGGAGATGCGCTGGAGGCAGAAACAATTTTCGATTCGACGCATGCGAAAATTCATATCGCCGCGTTGAAAGAGGGCAGAGAGAAGCCGAGAGGGGGGGGGGGGGAGGCTGCGACGCCGTGATGGAAGAGAAAAATTGCCTATTTCAGCGTCCAGCATTTTCCCAGGCGTACTACCCGCCCGGACCCGTCCGGTAATCTAGATTGTGGCTTGCACGTCGACGAAATATTCCCGGTGCGTGTATGATGACCGCAGCTATCTCCGCCCTTTTCGCTCGCGGGTTTTGTGAGAGTGGGCACGGGACGTGACCGTTTGGCGCGATACTTTTTACCTCCCGCTATTTCCTTGGCCGTTTTATACACGACGGCTTTTAGCAACGAATTTATGACAAATTTCTGGACTGCTCGGTAATTTTAATCCACGCGGGATCTGCCTGGTAAAAATATTTGCGAGAAATATTAATGCAGATTTTGCCTCGCGTGCTATTCCGCATCACGGACCAATTAACGCCACATGGAATCCAGTTATTTCAATGTAACTATTACTTAAGATTACGACTTCCACGCATTGATTGATTTTCGAATCTAATCAAATTCTATTACTTTGGAACAAAGTAATTTGTTCAGTGTACGACCTTTAGATACGCAATTATAATTTATATCTAAACGCGCCTATGACGTAACATCGTTATCGTTACGCTATACCTAAATGTAAACCACAAAATTTTCGCGAGGGCCAAATCGACCGGTAGATGCATTTGTTGCAGCGGTCGACACAACGGGCGGTTTTTATCGGCGTGGATCTTCTTCCGTGTCGCACGCACGGAGGAAAAGGATTACGATTGCAATATAGTCGAGCGTGCAGGGGAGAACCGGTCGGTTGCTTAGAAAGTCGGTGAAGTATTAGCATGCTCGTGTCACGCGAAGAATGACCGTCGACTATTTGTACGCCGTTTAAGAGGTTCCCATATTCTGAAAAATATCATACACGGACAAAGATCGAAATATCGCGATATTTATAATAGCATACTCAAGCATGTACCTAAGTAAAAGCATATACCTAGTACCTATAATATTCTAATAATGTTATTTAATTATTTATTTAAATATAATTTATTTATATACAATTGTCACCTCAGATCTGTGTATATATACATCTCAGAAAAATGTACCTTACGTACATTTTTAATCATGTAACTTTATGTTTAATACATAAGTTTAATCAGGCTTACTTTGATACGGTATCGCTTCACATAATGTCATGTCTCAGAACAACTCAGAACTTACGTATGACCCAGCTAGAAAAAGAATCTTACAGGATTTTTCTTTTCTATTTGCAGTCACGTCTAAAAATTACTTGAATTTTATTTTTGAATTTTTTATGAGTATAAATACTTCAACACAATTTTCGAACGTCTATCTGTTCAAGTTGATAGCAATTAAAACACGCACCCCTTCTCTTGCGTGTAAACATGTCATGCTCCTTATCGCGAGCGAAGGCTTCGTTGATACACGCGATATCTAACAACGTATCGAATCTGATAAATAAAATGTACAAGCTCGTGTGTGTGTGTGTCAAGAAATCTCGTGTTTCTTATCGTAAACGAGCATGTTGTCGAGCACCTTTATAGTTATCCATAAACAAAAAATAATTTCATCATTTTGGAGACATCTCGGAGAAAAAAGAGAAAAGGGGAAAACGGAACGTGAGAAGAATGCTCGTTATCGAAGGGAGAACCAAAGTCATATTAAGCGAATTTGCGCAACATTCGCCGTTGTGAGGTAAAGAGATGAAGAATTCCCGGGAAAACACGTAGCCGCGTGTGTGTGGGTGAGGGTGAGGGTGTGTATATGTGTTTGTGCGTGTCGGGAAAAGCGCGAAGAGAGGCACGATTTATTGGATGAAATGCAAATTGAATCGTAGTTAGCGAGAGGGTGCCGAGAAACGACGCGAGTAAATCGTGCCACCTTCCCGCACCTCTTTCGGTTCTCCCTCCGTCTCTCTTTTCTTTTTCCCTCTCCTTCCTTATGAGTCACCACCACCTCTCTCTCTCTCTCTCTCTCTCTCTCTCTCTCTCTCTCTCTCTCTCTCTCTCTCTCTCACTCGATTCCACCGCGTTTTTTCTCCGATAATTCGCACATAAATTCACGACAAATTGAAATAAAAACTGGGTCGATCGAAATGCAATTTACCCGAATGCACAACGCCAGCGCGGCAAGAAGGACCGAGGCAGAGATCGTTTACCTTTCGAGAGCCAATCATGTGCGGGCGTGATTTCCTCCGTGCGATCTCCTCGCAGTTAATTGCCTACTTTGCATCTGTTTCTGATTTTCGCGCGCAGCGATTTGCGAAAATTACCAAATTCGTCGACTTTCATCGCAACCCCGCTCTTTTTTCGAGAAAACGATTCATACCATTTACGTTCATCGCTCGTATACGCGTTGTGTTATTTTCGAGATTTTTCACGTGGAGCAATTTATATTGCTCGATTCGCGGTACAACATTTTAAATAGCGAGTCCAAATGGCGCCTTTTATTGCTACATCTATTAAAAGAATACGTATTATAAATAAATGTCAGTGCTTTCGTCACAATTTGCATTTTGAGCAAGGACACTTTTAATGACGGTTATTTGCCGCAGAAAAAAATTTGCAAATAAAATTGGGGACACTTTCATAAAATTCAGAAAAAAATATCACTCTCTCAACGCACACTCATCACTATGATAAATATGTTTCTATCTTTCGTTCTTTTTATTTTTCCCTTTTTACATCGCTATTTTCTCGTTTATAACTACAAATAAAACACTTTGTATTGTTGCTTTGATGTGGTTTTAATTTACATTGATTATATGCCAGATGCTTCATTACTATTGGCCTATCACAAAGTTGCCAATAGTATAGAATACTCTGAAGTTAAATCGCAAACTCGTATGCAAGCACAGCAATATACAGTACAAGCACATACGGGTATAAGCGTAGTGCAAGAGTAACATTTAAATAAAATAACTTCTTTTCAAAACCACTGAAATGTGTTTTAGAGTTAAATATAACACTTTCGTACATGCAGAAACTTGTCAGTTTAAGTACTGCCACGGCTATCATTTTTTTAATTTAATTTTTTTGTAAACGCATATATACATAAGTCTGTATATAAGATTGAAAATTTAAGTGGCGTAATAATACATAGCATTTTTTTAAATTGAAGTAACAACTTTCATAAAAATAAATTATATGATTTCACGTAATATAAAGTTGCGATACAAATTAATCAAATTTTGACACTCGCGTAATTAAAAACAAATACACGCATGTATTTTTTGTCAGGCATAATATAGAACTTTCGACATCGCAAGAGATTGATTTGTATTTACTGTTTATCGGGAAAAAGGCCATTTATTCAATGTATGAATTTACTGGGCAGTTCAAGTGGACATTTTTCGCAAAGTCAATCAATATAAATAGATAAAAGTATGGCAAATTGTTACGCGGTAACAAAATCGTGGTAAACCAGACAATATTTCAAAAAAGCAAATTGAATATTGCAATGACAGTTACAACAGTTATAAACATTTTAAATCAATTAAAGAACTGTCAACTGAAGAACGTCAGTCTCAATTTGTTAAAGGTACAACGTTCAAAAATCTATTTCAGTCAATTATCTTGTTTAAAATTATCTTGATATCTTATTCAATAATGCACATTTAAATTACTCGTGGCATTCGTTTAATTTAACATGAAATTCAAAGAATAATCACGATAATCACGTAGATATGAAATGGGTTCGATAAAAAAATTCGATAAAATCTCATAATATAATTATTATTGAAATGCATACTACTGGGATTCTCATTAATTAGGGAACTCTGCCTTTTGTGTGTGTCGATTTGTAATAATGCATAATTGTATAAATGCATTCTTTCGCATGCGAAAAAAGCATTCCTTCATTATTCTAAATTATCTTTAAAAATTTATATACGAAATGAAAGGAGATTTATATAAAAGATTTATGTAAAAGACATAAGGATCGAATTCTTCTTTTATGCTTTGGTTTCATTAAACCGATTAATCATAAATTGATATTTTATATTAAAACTATGCAAAATTTTTTATGATTAAAAAGTGTTAAATATTGAAGATCTAGCGCATATTCAATTAGTTGTAATTATGGTGATTCTATTAGTTTGCCAATATTCGCTGTTTACCGATATTTCCAAGTTTCGAATATCTGCACCGATATATTGGTTTATTATCGTACACCTATTAGCTTACACATATATTTATTTTCGAATATAAAAATTATTCTAATAATATATTAAGCAGGAAATAACAGAAAATATAATAATTTTTTAAAATCCAATCAAAATTTCGTTTATCTTATTTTAAAGTAAAATTGCCATTCATTGTCATGTTACTATAAATAGATTACGCGAAGCATTTGTAGCGTTTCCTTTTATTTCTAATATATACCATAAGGAAATTATGACATAGATGACACGTAACATGAAAAGTATATATGGCCAAATATCTCATAAGACGTTTAGTCGTCCTAAACATGATGGTCAGCTAATTTCAATCGCTACAAACCGCGTACTTGCGTGATGCCGCTGGCATCTTCACGCTCCACATGTCGAAGGCATGCCACGAGAATTCGCAGACCGAACGGAAATGCACGGATTTGAGCGTACATTCAGGGATCGATATGTCGCATTCCGTTCTAATAACACCGATGGTGCATCGACGGTCCATCCGACCGATTACTCATTAAAGCTGTTTGCATGGCGACATATTTCACGAACATATCAATTAGTCTCGATCACTGGTACGCTTCTCGATAGATAGATGTACTATTTATAAAAGACCGACTAGACGTTTAATATCTAATTATATCTATGATTTATTCAACGCATACGTCTGAAAATTGTCGCTTACCTCACGATCACGTACAGTGAGTGCATCTCCATAGAATATCGGCTTACTCCGATCTATAAGTAAAAAAAAAACAAAAATGTCATTCTACGATACCGTAACACAACTTATTACTAATGTAATGGTTCGAAATTATCCTTATAAGTTAATTTCGTTTTAACTAGTTCAAATCACTGCCAGTCCAAATGTATAATATATTTATTTTTCACTTGGTTTTATTTTAATTTTTTCAAGTTTTAGTCTTCGCTAGCAAATCGAGAGAATTACGAAACAAATTCATTTCGCACATAATATAGTCAAACTATTCATCGGTACAAAAACAGGTACAAATGCATGGTTTAATCACTATGCACTTTCACGCTTTGGTATTTGAATTCCTAAAGCTATCAGTTGTAATATCGCCGAACAAAAGCACAATAAATGACGATGCCAGATGCTGCACCGTAATATAAGGAGAGCATCTTTGCTCTACCGAAAGGAACCGAGAACTTCCTATTTAATTCTATTAGGAAGCAAGTTGGGATACTCCAATTAACGAATTCTTGCCAACCGAATAGAATTAACAAATTTTTGCACACAATCTGGCGCCAAATGTCGCCCGACATGATTGAGCAGCTTGCGCTACATTTTAATTAAACATTTGTATTCTTTTCCATATAGGATTAGATAGTTATGTTTTTCTCTGTTGTATGTAAATTTTTATGTTTACAAAAGGTTGCACTATGTTCAGTAATCAATCAGTTATTTTTGCAATATAAATATGTAAGATATTTTTCTGCGAATTTATATATCACTTTAAAGTTGAAATTGACGGAATAGTCCTATTTTTTAATCGATGTTCTCGATCACTTCAACACTAATGTAAACAATTGTTATGACAAATTCTATAAAAATATTACGCAATCAATACAATAACATTTTTATTACACTTCAATAGTAACTGATATTCCCTTAAAAAAATTGAAGTTTAATATATGTATAACGTAATGTACACGTACATAAAGCAAGTTCATGAAAATTTGAAGATGAATAGCAGCCACTTAATATGTGTATCATATATAAGTAAACGGTTCCGAGCTAAAAATGCAATGATAGATATACTATAACTATAAAACTAGGAACATTAATCATGCGAACTTAATATTTTATGAGATGAAGTATGTAACTATGTTCCTATTTGAATATGTTACAGTAATGAATTCTGAATTCCTCGTATGTAAATCGACCACCGGAAATGTCGATTAACCAATGATATGACTGCACTGATGTGATGAAATTACCTTCACCATAAAATTTAATTTATTCACGAATTAATAACTATGTGGATTATCCCAAACATAACTCTCACACACAAATTATTGCAGAATCAATATATTATTAAAAAATGTTATATTCTCAAACAATTTGATGCCATTTTCTTCATCTTCAAATTATTAACAAATTTGCGATGCTCAGCAATTATTCTCGAAAACTACTGACCTCGATAAAAAAAACTTTGTAGAAACGATCGTCGTGATCGAAAAAGAACGTGCGCTGTATAAAGTTAAAAAGGTTTCGTATGCATGCCTGATGGCTCGTTGAAATGGAACGTTCGATGTAATACAATCGTCGTGTTTGCGCACAGAGTTCCGTACTCGATTCCCGCATACCCTTCTACCGCCCGTTTGCCTATATTCTCTTCACCTCCTCGTCTCCTCGTCTCCTCATCCGTTCTTCAACATCCACACGACTGCGAGAACGGTTCGTGAGATTGAGAACGAAACTTTTACGTCTAGCGTACGCCGCTTTTGGCAGATAATAGAGTGGGAATGAAGAAGAGGAAAGAGGAGAAGAGAAGAGAAGAAGAAGAAAAAGGAAAAGAAGAAGAAGGGAAAGAGGCAAGAAAGGTCGACCAGCCATGACCCTCATCTTGGAGCGAGGGGTAATAGCAACTCTCCTGTCAAGATACAAGGATGAGAAACACACGATGTCAAAATGCCTTCTAATCGCGTACCGTTCTCTCTTCGTGGGAGCATCCAATCCCACGACTTGCAGGATCTTGGCTTTAAAAAAGGTTTTAAAAAAAGATTTAATAGTCATCGACCTGAGAGCCTGAGAGGTTTGGTGAGCGCGGGAGCAGGATGGAGGCAAATTCAGTCGATTGCCACGATGCGACGTCAAAACATAACAGCCGCATCGTAGGTTCATCGCTGCTCAACCGGATCTATATAGTGTATCGAGATTGCTTAGACCCCCATAATAGAAATATTCATAAACCCGAATCTTTAATAGTAGTTTCCAAATATTAAACAAAAATAAAGAAAGTTTATTATTCTGTCGAGAGTTTTGGATGAAAATTACAGTGTATTTCAGCAGGGTAAATTTCCGATAATTGCACCGATAATATCGGGCTATATTATCGACGTTACATGGATAAATTAATTTTAATACATACAATGCGACATGTAATATCGATCGTAGGACGTATACGGTGTATTTAATGTAGACATATTATCAATGAACTAGTTGGCATCGCCAGCGTGCGTGTGTATGACAATCCATCTATTTCAATCAATGAGGACGTCCGTCCGCAAAGTAACGGGTCGTGCGTTGCGTACTTGAAATTTTTCTAGGGTCAACTAACGTCAGTTTGTTCGGACAGATGACATCTCCGTTATCGACGCCATTGTAACACACTCATTTTCCGAATCTCTCTTTCTCTTTCTCTTTCTCTCTTGCTCTTTCGAGTGATGCGCACCGACGGACCGCACGCATGCAAGCGGAAGACTGTCAATTCAGTCAATACCGACCGTGCAGCAACGAGACACGCATTACTTAATCTAGCGACATGTCCCCACGTGACGCTCCCCATTTAGAACTCTTGATGATGAGGCCAAATTCGCGGGTACATGGTAAACAATCTCTATAGTTTTACAATTTAGTTTTACATTGATTGCAATCATATAAATAACAAAATAACAAGCCCGAAGAAGCCCGAAAGGGCATTATTATTTACTGACTACATAAATCTCAAGTCGGACTTACTATCCGATTTGAAATTCATACAGACAATAATATACAAAAAAAAATATATATATATATGTACACATACAATTTCTATTTTGACATGTGCCACAAAATGCAAACATTTTTTATCGATTCATTCGCAAGAATTGTCATCTTCTCAATTTCTGATCCTTCTTCCTATCTACTAATTCCGGACTACTTCTAATGCAATGTCTTCACCCAAAAAAAAATATTCTGCCGATAAGTGGGGAATTTCTCTTTAGTGTTTCCTCTAAACAAAAAATCTTACATTAATCAGGTGCGTGTATTTATGACATGTAAACATCTATAAAAATGAGGACACATGAGCTATGATCAGAAATAAATTCCTCTATAAAAAATTCTGTTAAAATAACTCAAATAGCCTTTTCAAATAAGAGGATATACAAAATACCAGCGGCACGCTTATTTGTTAGAAGAAGTTTGTCATTTACGTGGTACCATAGTACGCGTGCATGTCAGTACATGTAAGACATTCTTCTAGTATTGAGAGGATTGCAATCCTAAATCCAGTACTTTACGGTTATACAAAATTCCTTTATTTTGTAGAATATCCTCTTGAGGTCATATATAAATGGAAAATCCTCTGACATTAACACGGAACCGCTAAATGGTAGAATATTTTTTTTGGGTGTTTAAATTTTTGGGTTTTATATAATTCGACTACCAAGAGTCATTCAATTGATTATGTTGATCTGTTTTTCATCGCATTGAAGAGGACTCGAATTAGGAGTCGAAACCTCTGCATGTTTAAATTATTTGTATCATCCATCTTTACGAACATTATTTAATTTGTTAATTATTTTAATAATTAATAATTTGTTAATATTTCAGCATTAATAACTACTGTAATTCTTATTACCAATTATAATTAATTTGTTACTTTATCAAATTTAAGTCTATAATGCAACATACTTATATAACAGGATTTAATATTTGCATGTTAAAGTCTTTTTGCAATACCGTATGCAGCATGCTCTTTTTCCTTTAATATTTTTCTTTTCCTTTTTAATAAAAGAAAGAATCCAGGAGAAAAAGATGGTTTCTGTCGGTCGGAAAGTCGAGACTCCACCATCTCTTGTAGGTGCAGCGCGCGTACCGCGAGGTCTCGTGGCGCGTTTGCGAGCACGAAGGGTCAGTAGCCTCGAGCGTGTTTGCAACGAGCGGCTCCATGGCCTCGCAAACTGGTTTAGCAAAAGTCAAGATCTAGATCGCGACCTTCTTACAACCGTTCACGATTTTGCGCGAGCTCGCGCGACGGCGTCTTAATACGCGAGAACTCGCGTAACAAAGTATTATAATAGCAATACAACGTGAAGCCAAATTGCTTCTCTTCTACGTCATCGCACGCGCAATTCGAAGGAATAAGTCGAAATTCGTTTATCTTGGAAACAACATGTAGTAACATTTGCACATGACTCTCTCTCTCTCTCTCTCTCTCTCTCTCTCTCTCTCTCTCTCTCTTGCCACATATATTTCAGAACAGATAAATGAATAATTGCAAATAGACGTTGATTTTACTTGAATTTTGATTATATTTTGATAGGGATCATTCGAAGGCAGATGTTGTCCGGGTAATAAAGATAATTTATATCAGACACAAAAGATTTGGATGATATATAAATTAATCGTTTTCCAAATTACTCTGTCATTCATCCTGCAGCACCGTTGTTAATTGCAAGACTGTAATATTAAATGATGTACGATAAGAGTTGTCAGATGTACCAGGACCAGGTTTTTACCGTTAGATGCAATCCATTGCTCAATCACAATATCGCTGCGAATGGCTAATAAGCAACATATTTCTGACTTCCGGCACAATATTTTTTTCATTTATCAACGAACATCGTATACTTTTTTTTCTATAGCTATTTTCCCGTACGACTTCATCATAATATATAGACGAGACATATGAGAGAGGTCCCAATCGACGACCAATCGAGATAACGTCTTGTAACGATTTACAAGTTAATAGTCAATTATAAACTACATATAAGTTTGGTTAATTAAT